ATTATCACTAATTCTAAGGCCTTTCCTGCGAAGGAAATAGAACCACTGTGGTAACGTAGTCCTAAATTCAGCTTGACACATAAACCTATCCAAGTGAATATATGTCAAATGGAACAATAGCTAAAGTAAAGAGGAAAACAAAAGCAAATTTAAGGAATACGAGAAATCAAGTAACAGAGATAAATCTTGTAACTTCTAAGAAGCTCCTTAGAGTGACCTATTAGGGTATTTTATAAAATAACAAAAACTTAAAATAATAACAAATTCAGATACTAAAATTTTCCTTTAAAATATATAAATATATGTTCTATCTTCCATAAAGAAATATGACCAAAAAAGTAATAGTACAGGATTCAGAATTAGAAATTTCTCCATTCAAAACAAATCATGATATGAATTATTTTGTATAACATGAAGACTAGGGATAATATGAATAAAATTAGCACATTTTTGTTAAGTAAAAAAAAAATTGGATATTATAGCTTTAATTTTTTATGTCAATATTCTTTATCCCATTAAGTTTACCTTGCAAATCATAAAAATAATTCCTTGCCTGCTAGAAAAAGGCAGGAGCAGATTAAAGTAGATAAAAAGGCAGAATAGAAGCAAATTGAAATCATTCTTTTTTGGAGATACAAGAAGAATGGAAATTCAGGGAGGTTAGTTTCTATATCCACTACTAAATTAGTTCAGTGTACATGAAAATCACTCTACTCACCTACTATTCCATGTTAGTTTATTTTCTACTAGCAAAAGATGAGGACAAAAATTCTACTGCTGTGGTTTGGAGTCTGCAAAGGAAACAATTATATACAGAACACATACTTTATGGTATTATTTTATAATGGTCGCCCAAAGAATCAAATACAAAAGAATATGAATGCAGGAAATCTGTCCACACAGTAAGACTCAAAAAGTCCAACTGAGGGCCTGGATCCCATGGTAACGTCCTGCATGAATCCAGCTGAAGATCTAGAGCTCATGACAATGCCCGCAAGAGTCCAACTGGAGGCCTAGAGCCCATGACAATGTCTCATGCAAGTCTGTTTCATGGATCTGCGCTGGGAAAGTCCAGAGATCAGTGGAGGAACCTAGAAAGTCTGTGCAGGAGGGATGGAAGATCGGTGCTAGTAGGTTCTGCACTGGAGCCAGGAAACAAAGCTCAAAGCAATGACCAGGGCTCCCCTGAAAAGTAGCACAGCCATCCTCAGCAACAAGGTGCCGAGTTCCTCTGATGATAAGAACAACTGAGTTTATATCAGTAAAGAAGCTTGACAATCTCTCCAGGAGAACCAATGGCAACAAGAGAACCAACAACAATGAGGACAACCAACTATACAACCTTTTTTTCTCTAGGTTTCCTTTTTATCTTGACAACAATCCTCTGGTGGGCCATCCACAGTAGGCACCACGCTGGTTCAGTTCAGCTGGTACTACAAGTTGATCATCAGTTAGCAATCCACCACACCTGCCATTATTAAATAAGTGGTGGGTAATGAAAACGTAACTTCAACTAATATTCATTTAAAATATTTATAAACTGAAAATTATTTCAAAATGTATGCCAAAGCACAGCATATATATATATATATTTTTTTTCTTTTAAAAGCTACAATCAAAAAATACAATTAGAGTTAATTCTGGCACATGTTGCAATCCCAGCTACTGTGAGCTCAGGCAGGAGGTTTGCAAGTTCAAAGCCAGCCTGGGCAACTTAGGGAGACCCTGTTCTAAATTAACAATTTTTAAAGGGCTGGGGTATATTGCTTGTGTTCAACTTTCATTATTGGGGGAAAAAAAAGAATTGAATTGCAGATTCATCCAAGATCTCATAAATATATTCAACTTATTCTACCTCTTACTTACACTAGTTGAATTTTAAAATTTTCTCCCTAGGGCAATCTTCAAAGTATATACAGTAATTCAAAGCACCAAAACATGAGATAATATTTATGTTCATAAAAGCTGGGTATTTATTACTTATGATTATAGAAATTGTTGAGCTAGACTTTGGGACATATATAGGTCTTCTATGCTTAAGAAAGCCCCTTCCTTTGTAGAAAATTGAAGTCATTGAGTAAAAAAACTTTTTTCCTCAAGTTTGACAATGGCACACCCCTTATACTTTTCTTTATCAAAACACAGGGTACTTACCCATAAAGAAATTAATTAATAAATTAAAAAATTGCTCATATTAAAGAAAAAGATGACACTAATTATACCTGACCAGAAAATTATGTATAGGCAGGTCAGAAGCTTTACTTAAATTCAATTCATGGAAACTACATTCCATGTAAACATTAAATGCATTTGTTTATTCTGACTTTGACCATATATATATATATATATATACATATATATATACATACATATATACATATATATATACATATACACACACAAAATATATATTTACATAGTCTACTTTTCAAATACATAATACCTCATAGACTTTTGCTTTGTAAAAACACAGGGAAAGGAATGAAGAGCGCTTTTATATGAACACTCAAAATTAACCTGGGTTCATCCTTCTTTTTTCATCCGTTCTTCTAAGCTGTTGTGTCACCAATAACATCAGGATAGAAAAGATCTTGAAGGTGAGTATGGTGGCTCATCCCTGTAATCCCATCACTCGGAAGCATTGCTGTGGGACACAGAAGCCCCTGGAGACCAAAAGGGCCTCTGAGTTAGGCCACCGTATGGCTCAGAGGAGCCAAAAGGAATGTGCATGTATGGCAAATGAGGTGTGGGGGCTGGGGAAAGGACTTCAAACTCATTAAATTACACATTTCATGCTTCAGTCCATACAAGCACATACTAACTGAATGGCTGAGCACTTGTACTGACAGAGAATATATTAGATGCCAAGGCATCCTGAAAAGAGCTGTTCAAGAAGTTTTTATTTCTTGTAAGCTTGGTCCCAATTCTACTACTTTAGGTGTTACCAAGCCAGAAAATGAGCTCTGTCATGTGTAAAAGCTCCAAATATTTATGGAGAGTTACAGTCCAGCACAATAGGACATAACTGAATCGTTCCACGGATTAGATCATTTTCCCCTGAAGGTTTTCTAGTTCCCTGCTTGGGTTCCAGGATTTCAAAGCAGGTAAGATAATCACCAACCACATTCTAATTTCTGTTACTGTAGGATAAAATCTCCATATTGAAATCTCCAACTCATTTTCACAGTTCACTGCTAAGCCTATCACGCCACTAGGTTTCTGAAGTGTATGTTCTTATGTTTATTCCATAAAATTCAATCAACTCATTAATTATGCCTGAAAAGATTTATTAATTTCAACCTGTCATTTATTTGTCACTCTTCTCTGTTTTTTATACCAAATTAGTTAAATATGTGAGTTTTCTGTTTTTGGTTTGTACTGGGGCAGAGCTGAGGATTAAACTCAGGGACTCATGCATTTGTTTGTCCTCTTCTAGAGCTACATCCAGAGCCCAAAATGTATATATTGCTTATATTAAAAATCAGAAGCTGGGCACAGTGGCACATACCTTCCAGTCACTTGGGAAGCTGAGGCAGAAAGATCACTTGAGCCAAAGAGCTTACAGCCACCCTGGGCAACATAGGGAGACCCCATTCAAATCACAAATTAATCCTCTGGCCTTCATTTATCAGTTAAAACAACTATTTCTGCACATGTAGTGCATGCCTATAATTCCAGCACTTGGGAGGCAGAAGCAGAAGGATACACAAGAGTTTGGGGCCTGTTTGGGCTGCATAGTGAGCTTAAGGTCAACCTGAATACACAGTGAGATCTTGTCTCAAGAAAACCCCAGAGACCAAACCAAAACAACAAAAAACCAAAATCACTCAGTTTAATTCTTAATTTCTAGTTTTTTAGTATGTGAAAAATATATATGGAAGCTGTACTATTTTAGCAACTTTTCTATATGAAATTATTTTAAAATTTAAAAAACTCTACAAATGCATACCAGTAAAAAATAAAAACTGAAAAAAAGAGGTAGCCACTTTCAACTCCTCTTATAATACACAATTTAAAATTTAATGTTCAATAACATAATGATAATTAATGCTCATCAGTGATTCCTTTCTCTTTTTTTTTTTTTTTTAATTTATGTCTTTTTGAGACAGCATTTTACTATGCAGTTCAAGCTGGCCTTGAACTCACAGTGCAACCAAGGCTGGCCTTGAACTCACAGCCATCCTCCTATCTCAGCCTCTCAAGTGCTGGGATTACAGGCATGTGCTACCACATCTGACTAGTGATTTTGCTTTTAACAGGCCCATTACAAAAGAAGTATCTTGTTGCACTGATAAAGATAAATCATTCTTTTTCTTGCATTCCCTACAGCAAACATAATTAATATGTTTATAATTAATTTTTTAACATAATTAAAACATAGATTTTGAAAAATGAACTAGGGAATGTACAACAGTTTTGGAATTAAGTTGTGTGGTTTCTCTAAAGTAAAACATTTATCTTTCTATGGTTAGCAATTCTACTCCTAGGTATTTATTCAAGAGAAACAAAAATATGCTCATAAAAAGCCAAATGTGCAAAGGTACATAGCAGTTTTATTTATGGTAACTACAAACAGGAAACAATTACAGTGTCCTTTAACAACTGAATATAAGAAATTGGAGTACAATTATCGATACAGTAACAAAATGAATGAAAGATAATGTTGATTCAAAGAGGCTAGACACAAGAGGATATACATACACACTTCTATTTACTTTTATTCTAGGAGAACAAAGCTAAATCACAGTGACAGAAATCAAAATGTGGTTGCTTTTGGGGAGTAGGGGAAAGGACAGACTGAAATAGGCGTAAACAGAACTCTCTAGAATGACTGAAATGTTCTGTATCATGTTTTCAACATGTAAGAATTATATATTGCAAAAATAATGCATGTCATACTACAAATTAAAATTACATTTCTCTTTAAATATTTTTTCTGAAAGAAAAGGTAATAGAAATAGAAACTGAAATTTTAACATTTCCATTTGCAGGACACTTACCTGTCTAAGAGCTGATCATGTTTTTCTAAAGCATCCTTTTCCGCTATCACTGCTCGGTCCTTTTCAGCCAAAGCATTATCCCTCGCTTCTCGGAGATTTCTAAAATGCACAAATATTGCATCTATTTCAAATGCATTAAGGGTGTATCTTCAAAGATCCATAAATAGAACAAGCTCAGAGATGGACTACATGACAATCTTAAGGACCCATTAGAACTCGTGACTGATGTACATTTATATATATATATATATTTTTTTTTATAAAGGATTTTATTTAAAGAGAAAAAAAGCAAAACAAAAAAAGGTAGAAGTAATACAGAATTTCAAAAAAACAGAAAGAAATCACTAGTTAAAAGATTACATATTGTCATCTTAGAAGTCGCTGTTCAAGTTACAAAATTAAAGCATACAAAGTGGACATTTAAACAGTGAGACTGCAATCAGTTCTGTTCAATGATCCAACAAAAATTTAGTAATATGGTTACCTGTTTTACACACTTAAACATACATGCGGTTATATCCTTTAGAGCACTTTCTTTTCCTCTCTTTTTTATAATAACAAGTACACATTTTTAGGTTTTATTACTCCTACAGTTCTTATTACTTTGTTTGAAGAGAATAAAACCAAATGTGACAAAGCAAAATGGGATCGTTAAACAAGAATAGACATAGTATATGATATAAAAACAAAATACAAGGTGATCAACAATGGCTACTATAATGCCTTTTGCTATCTTCAAAAGAATTGCCCATATCTTAAAGAGGGTAAGATTAAACATACCAAAACAGAACAAAACAGATCATACAGAAACAATTTTAAGAAGCACTGATTTCAAAGCAAGTCCACTGGAGATCTTTACTGTTTGTCTTATTGTCTCTAGTTTTCTTCCAAATAGTTGCCCCCATCTTCACATGTGGGAAGCCGCCTATGAATGGCGCCCATTTCCTGCTTCCGGGTTCTTCCCGGCCTGAACAAGCCCGCCAAATTGTCATATCTGCCCAGTTACCCGTGACGCTAGCCTATCAGCTTGTTAGGCGCGCTTCTCTGTGATTGGATACTGCTTCCCCTTATAAGAGGTTGTTCCTGCCCCCAACGGCGGAAGAGGAACCAACGTTGAGGGTGGCGGACCTTGTTAGGTCCGGTTCGCTGTACGTAATAAAGTTTGAGAGCTGATCCTGCTCGAGTTTGGTCTCCTGTCTCCCGCAGCTCCGGTCATCTGGTGGCCCCCGTACGGGGAATAAAAGACTCAGCGACGTGCCTCTTCGGCCGGGAGGTGCGATTGCTGTCGCCTGCGGTACGACGGAGGACCTGGCTCAATAACAACGGAAGGCCGCGAGCGCCTCTTCTCTTCACCCTGATCAGCTACGTGAGATACAGCGGTTCCCGGGACAGGTGAGTACTGGGTCACCTGGGTTGGGTGGACGCACCTAACATATTTTGAGCGCCACACGAGTGGACGCTGGGTTTTTTTTTTCTTTTCTTTTCCCTTTGCATCTGTTTTGCCTTCGCTTCGCTAATACAGCCTGACAGGCTTTTGATAGAGCTCGATCGGAATGCTCAGAGGAGCCCGGAGCCACTGCCGATTGTGGGTCTCCGGAGGACCCTCAGGGCTCTAATTCTGATTCGGATTCGGAAGGCTCAGAAGAGGAGGTCGTCTTTGCTAAGCATGACCCTCCTACACTGTTAAAAGAGGAACTTAGGGCTCGGGAAGATAAAAAGGGGAACCAAACACCACCCTGCCCGAGCTACTCCGCCTTACGGGAGGAGCTTAAGCCCTTCCGCCCTTTGGCAAGTTCGCGACCCACGATCGCCCCTTTCAGGGCGCCAGGCCCCACTGCACCGCCGTGGCCGGAAGAGGAGTTGCTCCCTGGGCTGCCACCACAACCTATGGCACCGCCCTGGTTAGAGGGAGAGCTACTTCCTGGGTTGCCTTCTGCGCCCCCATCTGGGGAGGGAGGAGGACGTTCCTTCCACCAGAGGGTATGGTTGCGGCTTCCCTTTGAGTGTTCCGGTCTCCATGCATTCCTGGTACAAGTAGGAGGCAGGGGAGGAGGAGGATATTATGAGCCCTTAGAAATTAAACAACTTAAAGCTATCAAGGACGCAGTTTCAGCTTATGGGCCCAATGCGCCATTTACCATGGCGCTTTTAGAGGCATTGGCAGGTCTGCTTTTAACTCCTGGAGATTGGACCCAACTGGCACGCGCCTGCCTCTCCCCCGGATTCTGTGTAGAGCAGGCGGCAGCCAACAGGGAAAATAACCAGAAAAAATGGAACAGGGATATGCTATTAGGGCGAGGAGCCTTTGAGGAAGATCAAACTCAATACCCTCGCCAGGTTTATGAACAAATTAGCCGCTGTGGCCTCCAGGCCTGGAGACGGCTGGCTGGAAAGGGAGAACATACGGGTCACCTTACAAAAATTATACAAGGGCAGGGAGAGCCATTTTCAGACTTTGTGGCCCGCATGCTTGAGGCCGCTAACAGGATTTTTCCAGATGCTGAGGCGACTCACCCTCTCATAAAACAATTGATTTTTGAACAGTGCACTAAGGAGTGCCGTGATGTCCTAAGAACTAACAAAAATAGGTCCTTAGAAGAGTGGACACGCCTGTGCCGTGAATTGGGTGGCCACGGCCTAACGCCCAAAGGAAGAATATCATTGGCACTCTTTACCATAAATTTTTTAAACCTTAATCATAAAGATGTCCTTACAGGACAATGGATGGGCCCGGATCCAGTGATTAGCTGGACCCAAGGTGCGGTTTGTGTCTTCCCACAGGAACCAGGCTGCGAGCCGCTGTGGGTCCCAGAAAGATTGACGCGAGCAGTAAACTCCCCACCAGTTCCTGATAAAGCACAGGAGGATAAGCCCTCGGACACAAGTCAACTCGACCCTTCTGGGACCGACGCTCAGCGCCCGAGACCATCTACAAACTAAAATGTCTGGTTTGGAGCTTTTTCTATTCTGTGGGTTCCTATTAATCACCCCTGTTCGCACAAATTTGACCAACACTGTTATAAATAGCCAGTTTGTGGGAACGCGTCACCTCCTGGTTCTCCTGGCCCAACCTGACTACTTGGATCCTGATTGCCGTGGCCATCCTAGTGGGGCTTGTGGTTATTAAATGCTTGTTAGATCGCCTCATACAAACTCAGCAGCAGGTTAAGATCACAGCTATGGCAGCCATGCAAATGGCAGCAGGTGGCCCATCAGGCCAGCAGGCCGCCGCATATCTCCTTCACATTGCAGAACATCAGTTATAAAAGCTGAGTGGGCAAGCCAATGACGGGTAAGACGGGAGACGTCCTCCCGGTCAACCTAAGACAGGCTCCACTCAGATATATATGGCCTTTAAGGCCAGGGGTCCCTCCCGGAGTCAAATTATTGGCATTGAGATGCGAGACCAAGGGTACTGCAGTGCCATCTGCCTCAAAGGTTGGGGGGAAGGCAGGAATGAATGTCTATATGCATCCAGGTTCGGTTCACAAAAGCCTGGCCCTGCGAAAAAATGAACCACTCACCTTGAGCATGGTCCTGGTGCAAGGATATGCACAAAACAGGGTGATGCACAGCAGGGTATAGACCTCTACATTCTCTCATGCCTCGGCCTACAAGGTAGGCCCACTCCTAGGTGTCTAACAGCAACAAGGTCATAGGCACCTTGGAGGGACCCACAGACCATCCTATTTTAATAAATAAAAAAGGGGGAGATGTGGGAAGCCGCCTATGAATGGCGCCCATTTCCTGCTTCCGGGTTCTTCCCGGCCTGAACAAGCCCGCCAAATTGTCATATCTGCCCAGTTACCCGTGACGCTAGCCTATCAGCTTGTTAGGCGCGCTTCTCTGTGATTGGATACTGCTTCCCCTTATAAGAGGTTGTTCCTGCCCCCAACGGCGGAAGAGGAACCAACATTGAGGGTGGCGGACCTTGTTAGGTCCGGTTCGCTGTACGTAATAAAGTTTGAGAGCTGATCCTGCTCGAGTTTGGTCTCCTGTCTCCCGCGGCTCCGGTCATTCACACACAGTGAATACATACTGAACATTATAGAACTAATCTAATCATAATAGGATGATGAAGACTTTTTAGGTTTTCAAAACCTGACACTGGAGAAGTCAATAGTGACTGCAATAATGTCCCTCATTCTCTTCATAGTAGCTGTTCTTATCTTTACGTACGCTGAAATTGAACATAAGAGACTAGACTAATATCATTCTGAACAGTGAGTAATAGTTTTGCTAGATTTTATATCATAATGTTACAGAATTAGCACTGGGTTTATTAGTGTCTCTTCTTCTTCAGATTATCTGTTCATTACATCATGCATTATATAATCTGTTCCTGTAAACTATTAGAAATTCTCCCCATGTGTGAATCTCTGATGTACATTTATATTACGTGAGTGTGCCTGGCGTGGTGAGGATCGTGAGCAGTATGCAACTAGTGAAGTAAATGCAAGCCTGGTCTATCTCTAAATGTCAGAACTCACTGGATATTAAAATTTTATTGTATGATTTTTCATAGACAATGTCAGTCATGCAAGTCCACAGGTTGAAATATTTCTTTCTTTTTTCCACATGGTTCAGAGGGCAGTGTAAACACAGTGTATGTATTTTAGCTCACTTAATCCTTATAATTCATTGAAATCAGTGTAATTATTCACATCTGCACAAAAACCCTAAGGTTTCAGGAAGGGGACAGTCGCTTTATGAAATATTTTAAGTGAAAGTTATATTAATTGAAGTCAAAGAATTAAAAAGGGAATGAATATTCCTGGGATATGGGCAAGAGACCAACTAAAACAATGGACCTTAGAATCTAAATTGTAGTGAAAAGGAAGAGAAAGGAACACAGAAAGGCTGATAAACTATGAGAAAGTAGAAAGGACAGGACTGCAGGTCCTAATAAGATGACAAACAGATTAAGTTCTGGTAGTTGTACGTGAAAGATGAATAATTGAGATTGCTGTTGGAGAATGGAGATTGGGAGACAGAACAGTACTCTGTGGCAGAATTTTAGTTGATGACAAGACAGGACAGGACTGTTACAGTAAATGAGGTAGAGCTGAGATGAATCAATATTCATGTAGGGATTAAGGAATACAACACCAGGGTATGAGACGAAGTCATCCACTTACAGAGGTGATGACATTAGAAACTGCAACTGACCTTCAAAACACTGCATTCGGTGACAGTTAAATGTCCAAAAAGCAGAAGGTAACAACAATAATTAGTAGGTTATTCAGCCAGCTATAAACCTTGAAAGATCAAATTCTATTTGTGTTTTAATAAAGATAAAACTCTAAGCTTCCCTCAGAATCAGTTTAAAAGAGTCTTCCACTAACAGAGTTCTAATACAAATCAATATTGAGTATAACATAATGTCTTTTCCTAACTCACTAAGCTGAAGTTCAGCTTTGAGTCACACAGCCAAGTATTAAAGGGCCAAAGTCTGAATCCAGCTATGACTTACTCCAAACCCATGCAGTTTAATTCACATCGCTCTGTTTCCAAAAGGAACTAGACTGGGTAACAGAATTTGGCTTTTTATTATTCATAGAGAATGTAAGTACAGAGTCTTGAAAGGTCATATGTTTTGCATAATCTGTCCCGGTAAAAACTGAATTTAAATCCTTAGTGATCATACTTTGCTATGCCACTATAGTCTTTTACATGACAATATTAACAAATTTAAAATTTTAAAATGTCAATCATTAGAGATTCATAAATGAGTTTGTGTGTCAGAAATAAACCAAAAAACTGGAGCAAGGAAACTTATTAAAAAGAAGATAAATTACATCTACAGTTTTATAATTCTGCATTTATTTTGTACTTATTATCTAAGTGGAAATGTATTGTATTTTTTTTTTTTTTTTTTGTACTGGGGATCGAACTCACGGCTTGGTGCCTGCCTGGCAGACACTTATGCCGCTGAGCTAAGCTGCCGCTGAGCTGGAAATGTATTTTAAAGTAGTTATTACAAAAGGCCATTTTGCTATTTTTTGAAGTCATCCTGATTGCAATCATCTTCAAAAATATTCTATTATCAAAACAAAACACAAAATTAATTTTGAAGACAGTAACATTCTCAAAATATATTGAACATTTATATATCTTTATTTCCTAGATGGCCTACATATTTTAAACACTAAATCATCCTCAACAGATTTCAATTTGTTTTTCAAATATAGACACATTATTTTATGTTATTTCAGTAACAGAATTACAAGTAGGTCATATTTGCAGTATTAATTAAACATGAATACTTAGTTTGTAGACACAGAAGCATCAATCCCTAACTGTATTTCCTTGTATCAGTGGAGTTGGAAATAAGACCAAACCAAGGGAAATGAAATAAAACTCAGAACAAAGCTAGCGTTAGGACTTACACGATGTATACTAATACATATACCATGTCACAATCTATTGATCCAGCTAACTGTTGTTCATGCTATGTAAAGGCATAAACAAAATTCTACAATCATAAAGAGAAGTTTAGTATTTTTAACTGGAAAAAGATACTGGAATGAAGGAAAATACTTTAAAAGCTGAGATATAAGTTAAATCTTGAATTGGTAAGGCAATTCAGAAGAAAACAAAAATTAACAGGAAAAAATTCCAGAAACTAAAGCTTCTATTAATAAGTTCTCTCATAGATGCTTATGGGTAAGATTTCTGTGCAAAGCCATTCTCATCAGCTAGTACACCCCTCCATATCTACTTCACAAACTGCATTACTTTATACTTCCTTTAATATCATCAATTGGCATGATTCAAACTAGTCTCAGAGGATTAAACAATGTATTCTTCCACTGACAATTTAGTAAGAGTAAACATATAGAGTGTTTATTACATGCCAGGAGCTATTCTAGGCACTTCACATACTTGTTTAACTGCCACAACAATCACGTAAGTCACAGTTGTACCAGTACCTCCATCTTTTAAGAGGGAGGTCTAAAACACCACAAGGTTAAACACTGGCCTAATGTCACACAGCAAGGTAAGCTATGAAGCCTAATTGTGAACTCAAGCAGTCTGGCTGAAAACTTGTGCCCTCAATCACAGTATGCAGTCACTCCACTCCCCCATGTCTTTAATAGGGTGTGACCATTAATCCTGATAGGGCAACTTCACTGGATTAACAGATGGCTAACAGGTTAGTAAGGCTTGCCCGTGGATGTGTGTAGGTACAGGCCCTTGGCCTGTTAGGAACCAGGCCACACAGCAGGCAAGGCACAGAGGCGGGCAAAACTTCATCTATGCTCCAGCATACATCACCATCTGTGTGCTGCTGCCTGTCAGTCCAACAGTGACACCAGATTCTCACAGGAATGTAAACTCTGTTTTGGCTTAAGTTCTGACATAATGAGATTGATATTATATGCCCATAGTAGATGGCATAAGTAGATGTTAAATAGAAACTAGCTGGAAAAGAATTATGAATATATTATACACTTGGTTTTTATGTTTCAGTGTATAATACGTTCTTTCAGAATTTAGACAGGTTTGATAAAATGCCAGATGGGTTATAGTCTGCCACAGATAAAATAACTTCCATACAACTAATAAATAATCCATTTCTCAATGTTAAAATGCATTAGAAAATACAACAAATACCGAAAAGATATCAGAAATTCAAATTTTCTCAAAAGAGAAACTTGAAGCACCAACAGCAGCTGTCTGTAACATACATAAACTAATGAAACTCAGTTTTTAAAAGTCCAAACTGAGATTACAACTAAATGTCACTCTAATAAGAGAGATGCTAGAAGTTGGTTATATGGCCAGCATCATATCAGATGTTTCTGAATACAGAAACTCCCAAACCCTGAGGATCTGCAAGAGCTTGGTTCCAGGACACTCCCATACCCCCAGTCCTGTGAGTATCAAAACCTTAAAGTTCTTTATATAAAACAATGCAAAAAACAAAAAGATAGTACAGTATTGCATGTAGATTACACATATGCTTTCATGTATGTTTAAATCATCTCTAGATTACTTACAGTTATTATATAGTATTGTTTAGGGAAATAATGACAAGGAGAAGTCTGTATATTTTTAGTACAATACAGTTTGTTTTCAAAGTATCTTTCATCTACAGCTGAATCAGTAGATGTGGAAGCTGCAGATACAGAAGGACTAGTATGTATCGTCCTTAAAAACTTTGATAAATAAAGCTAGTGTTTGATCCCAAAACTATGTTTTATATGATTCTTTCAGGTTGATTCCAACTAGCTCCATCTCCCAACCTTCCTATTTGCTATGTTTATATGTGGGAATTATATTAAAAGGAAAGATGGAAGGAAAAAATAATTTTTGTCTTATATGAAATGCAAAGGGGAAGTGAGTATCTTAGTATGACTGGTTACTACTCACTATGGTTTGGTTACTAGAGTAACTACAAACGTATTTTTCAACCTGGAATTTTTTTTAATAGCAAAAGATGATATAATAATGATAACAGAGAAGTAGGCATAAACTACTGTAGAGTATTCTTGGGCAAACTGGGAGATATGGCTAAATTATAACATTCAAGTGAAAAATTTAAGTTTTTAACCATTTCCTTTAATAAACAGACTGCTAAAATAAAATAGGCACACTTCATATTTCACAATACCATTTGTGCAATAGATGATTTCATATATGTAATTTATTCAAAAATATCTCACAACTCAAAAACTTCCAACTAAAACATACATAAGAACACACTACATGGTATGTATGTTCTCACTTCTACAAGATAAAGTTCACAGCACCATAGGCCAAATCTAAATTTATATCTGCAAAGTGGTAAGAAAAATGTTCCAAGAATGAAGACTGGGAACCTCTGAAACTCTAATTGGAACGAATGAGACTTGGACCATGGCATGTGCATGTCTCAGCCTGGATACCGATCAGCAATGCCCTAGAACCTGAAATTCACCAGGAATAAATGGGAAGAAAACGTAGTTCTCTGTGGAGCTCCATGGGCACAAT